AGCAACTTCTGGAAAAGCCTCTGCGAGCAGTTCGGGACAAGGCTACAGTTCAGCTCGTCGTACCACCCCGAGACCGACGGTCAAACGGAGCGGACGAATCAGACGATGGAGCAGTTGATTCGTGCCACGTGCGACACTTGGGAGCAGCACCTGCCGCTGATCGAGTTCGCGTATAACAACGCCACGTCAGCGATGACGCAGCAGTCCCCTTTCTACCTGAACTACGGGCAAAATCCTACAGTGCCCATGACGCCGAGTCCGGACAACCCAACACCACGTGCACAGCAATTCGCCGAAATTCTGCAAGTTGCCCGCACCAGAGCCGCAGAAGCAATTAAAAAGGCCAACGTCATCGCTAAGAGCGTGTTCCTATCCTCGTATCAAGATAACCTCGTATCAGGCTCACACTGAAAATTCCCCTAAACCCAAAACCTCTCGCTAGTTTTACCAGGCAAAAACAACATTCTTGATACGAGGTTTCCTGATATGAGGCCGTAGGAACACGCTCTAAGCGCAACGCTGACCGCCACCGCCGCCCAGTCACGTACCAGTCAGGAGATTACGTACTGCTCGACACGCAAAACTTAAGACTGCCCGTCGTCCCGAAATTACGACCCCGCTACTGTGGACCATTCCAAATCAGCCACATGATTACCCCAGTGACAGCTCACCTACTGTTGCCGACGGACTGGTACGTCAGCCCTTCGTTCCACGTCAGCGTGCTTCGCCCATACAATCCAACCACAAGCCAACTGCCTCGTCACCGCCCGCCATCCATGACTCGCCCTGCATCGGAGCCGATCATCGAGCCCGAAAAAATCCTGAGCCATCGGATTCGACACCCAACGGAAATCAGGAGGATTGAATTCCTCGTTCGCTGGAAGGATCGCACGCCAACTGAGGATAGCTGGGTGCCCATGGCCAACATTGAAAACCACCCTGCCCTGCAAGTGTACCTGATGAGCCGGGGTTTCCGCGATATACACGCACTCGCGTAGCGGAGGGGGCTTCTTGAGGGGTGGGGTAGTGTAAGGAATTTCCGTATTCTCCCGGACATAACACCCTAGGGTATAGCTAAAAATACATGGAAAAAATGGGGGGGGTCTCCTCATAGGAAAAAAATACATAATACCCGGGTCTTTACATATGGCATATCTTAGTGTTAGTGTTTTTTTAATTAGTCAATGTGGGTGTTTTGCTGGTCGTTTTAGCATCACTGCCTGAGGCGCGAATGTGAGTTTCGGCCTCGAACTTCATCGCCCCCACGAAAATGGCATGTGGCACCTCTCTTGCCACTTGCAACGGAAGATTCACCTGCACGTGGCGACAGAGAAATAGTGGGAGGGGGCAAATCTCGGCAGATTGCCTTTGAATGTACCGCGAAATTTCATTGAGGGAGAAATTCACACAATATTCTTCCGTATTGCAGCTACTCGTTAACGACTATAATAATGAATCCGTAAGAAAAGGGGGGGTGTTATAGAAAATCAGCCAAAAAGGGGGGTATAGTAGAAACGAGGTCTATCATAACACCCACCCCGCACAAGCTACCCGGGGGTGTACAATTATGGGGGGGTGTTTTGTCCGGGAGTATACGGTTTCTCGATATTCCTTAGCGCGCCCTGCAACATCGCGTACACCAGCAGCCGTTGCTCGCCCGTTACTGCTAATGGGGCTTCGCCGACTTCGCGCGCACTGTTTCACCAAACCTCGCACTGCTGGCCTGGCCGTATCGGCCTACGCTTCGGGACTAGCCCGAGCCTCGCTTCCAGCATAGCACTAGCTAGCTCGCACGCACCGCGTTACCGTTTGCATGTTTCGCGTATAAATGTTCGCTCATGCCTTCGCTCACATTTTGTACTCGTTTTGACTCCTTAGTGCAATTCTCGCTACTTCGATTCATTGCACCCGTAACATACACCAGTAAGCTACTTCGGGATTTACAAATAGATTTGCAGCAGAAACAAATGAGCCACCCTGAGCAAACTGAAACACATAATGGGACAGACAGAACGGATGCCAGAAATCACGAGCGATGCTGCTTGTACTCCCCAATCCCCAAAAGGTCCTGCGCATCAAAACGATGTACAAAACCCATCAAGCCTTGGATCAATCAGCTGTCAAAATGCTTGTTTTGCTGGAGGGTGTCTGAAATCTCTCACCTGGCATGCCCGGCTCTTAGCTCGAGTCTCAGCAGTGCCTGGAATATCATGGTTCGGTTTACTGAACCTCTTCTCTCCTCGGTCACATGAGCCCCATGCATCAGAAAACCTGCCGGAACTGCATTTAGGAACAAGATATGTATGCATTAAACCTGGCAGAACAACTTGAGAAGCTCACCAAGTGCGAAGTGTAGGCTTTCGATCTTACGGCATGCTGGCTCGAACAAGGAACTCCGATCTTGTAACGTTACCACGCTTGTCCCTCTCGATGGTCTTGTCTCGGATTTCAAATGACACGTTGAAAAAGAATGCAATTTTGCGCCAGCCTGAATGTGCAATGGAAAAAGACAAATGTAAGCGAATCATGGCAAAATGGTCTTAAGAAACGAACTGGACAGCAACGGATAATGGAACATACCCGACTTCTTGATATACGGTTTCCCTTGCATGACCATGTAATCACCAGGCTCAAGAACCTGCCATATTCACATAGCACACAGGCATACAAGAGATTAAAGAAGAGATGTACTCGGCAAAAATGAAGTTGGAATCTTCAGGATATCATCCAATCAGATACCCACATCCAGTGCAGCAGACTGCATGTTTCGAAAGTCTGCTGGACGCATGACAACAGGTTGAGCAGGCTGCACTGGTGAAGGTGGCTGCACTGAGGGGCTGGGGAGTGGAGATGCGGCAGCAGGTACCGGAGCACCAAAACCACTCGAGGGTATAACCACTAGCTGTTGTTGCTGCCGTTGCTGCTGCTCCTGGTACAGTTGCTGTTGCTGCTGCTGCTGCTGCAGTTGGTTGCTCCAAGAAGGATGGTTGCCCAACCTATCTGGCGTTGCAGGCTGGTTCGAGGACGCGGGAGCATGCACTGCACCATTAGCACTTGCCACATCTGCAGCTCCAGCAACTGACTGTACTCTCTCGCACTGCCTCAAAGTGGCTCCTGCTCTCAACCCATCTGGCTGCCTTTGCCACCGTTGCTGGTGCTGCTGCTGCTGCTGCTGTTGTTGTTGCTGCTGTTGTCGTCCGTGCCGGTTCTGTTGCTGGCCTAGTTGGCGCGGAGCTGCGCCAGCATAATCATTCCGAGTCACTTCCGTGATAACCACACTGCTCCTACTTACACCGTTCACACCAGCATTCCTCATACCACTCGCTCCGCCTCCGCTCCAGCCACCCGCCAGATTCTCCTGTGCGGCGTCGCTTGGCCGAGGCCTCAGCGAGTTCGAGAGCCTGCACGAACGCGAGGTCGTCCGTATCGTCGGGGGAGGCTTCCCACACCACAAGCCCTCCGTTCCGGCTGTCTGTGATCGAGGAGCTCTCAGGAGGAGAGGCGTTAGATCTATCGTTGAATGGCACTAGTGCCATGGCTTTCGACGACCAATTATTCACAGCTAGGAATATGGAGACCTGGGAAACGTTGATAAGGTGCTTGTTGTAAGAATTCTGGTGATGTGGTGAACGACGACTGAATTCACAAGAAGCACGCGAATAAACCTCAGCTTAGTATGCGATACTTCAACAGTATAGAAACCGCAATGCTAAACGAACTCGAGAAAACAGGATAAGGAGTTGACGCCCAAGTCCGAGCGAAAGCTTCGGCATCAGCCGCCACCGTAGTAGGGACTGAAATTCGTCTCAGCATACAGCAAAACCTGGTGTGATGGATGGGTGGGGTGGTACGACGATGGGGGGCGGGAAGAATCACGAACAGAGACGAACGCCAGTCTGTCGTTGGCAAGCGTCAGCAGGACGGTTTGGCAGACGCTTGGCGGTTATTTGTTGCTGTCAGGGGGAACTCTGGCGAAAGGTATCCATGCAGGTACATTGATGTTACAATCTGGCTCATTCAGCTTAACTTAATGTGTAAATGATGCTTCAATGGCTCATGATCACCTTAATTCCAGAACCTGTACTTACGTTAGGAATCACCTTATTTTCAAAAATTATTCTTTAAAAACTAGTATGGGGTTTTTTATGTCTTCTTAATCAGTATAGAAATTATTTAACATGAATGCGAGTATTATTTAATGGATATAATGCTGGCGTGAGACTTAATAGGCCCTTATATTGTACGGCAAGGGTCAACTTCTGATAACTTGCAGAGAAGACTTTCGTGGCGGGTCAGAGCCTCCACCACGGCTTGGGTGCTCGTTCTCGATTACGTGGCTCCGCTCCACCAATAATGTGTTGAGTTTTGCGCCCATATTGGTCTGGAATCTTTTGACGTGGCGTTCACCGGATGGTTGGCTGGTAGGTTCGCGCTTGTGGTACAGGCTCGGACTCGGAACCTCGCTACCTTTGGACGGCGCGCGACGCCGCCATCGCGGTTCGCTCTCGCGCTCCGCCCTGGTCTTGTGGTGTGGATATCACACACCGGCGCAACACTTGCGCTAGTCAACCCCAGCGCCGGTTCTTGAGGCCCCGCCTGCTAGCACCTGACTGGTGGATTAGCGCCTCTTCTCGCGCGCCTTGCCCCTTGGGGGCTACGGCGGCGCGTTCATTGACTTCCGAGTTCCTTCCAAACACCCTCAGTTTTATGATGTTCCGCCCTCCCTGCGATCTTGGAGTGCTCCCCTACAACCCAGCCCTTGCTCACCAACCCGAGCCCCCGCCCAACCCCAGTCTGAGCATCTTCTCTCCACTCCACCAACTCCACCCATCCGTATTTCACATGCTAATCTCTCCCTCCTTTCTGGCATTCACTTTGAGCCCCCTCTTCTCTTCATAAATCCCCAGCCCTTCTCACTGTTGGCTGGACAGGAACCCTTGTTTTAGCGCCTTTCTTCATTGAAAGTTCCTAGGGGTGTTAATTTTCCTAGTCTTCCTGCAATGGCTCCTTCACGTCCGTCGCAGCCTTTGCTTCTGCACTTCTTGGTGCTGCTGCTCGTCGCAGCAAGCATTGGTGCCGCGAGCGCACAATATGCATCTCGTTCGCGTCGCAGCCTGTGGGCCCGCGCGCGTAAGCTGTTCGAGTTCCCTACGCTTCACAAGTCGCAGCTGTCCAAGATTGGATTCACCTACGAAATCGCTAAACAGCCGGCGAAGCCGGAAGCATCGCCTTCTGACGGGGCCACGGATCCCGCCAGTTCCGTTGCCGCCTCCACTCCGGCCGCCCCCTCCTCCTCCGAGCCTTCCCGCCCTGCGGGGGGCTCGTCGAACGACGGTTTCTCGTCGGGCGGCTCTTCTTCTGGCAACTTCGCGCAGTCGGGTAACCCGCTCTTCCCCGGTACCGTTACCTCGACCCCAGGCAGCGACCCGAAACCCACTCCGAAGACCCCGTCCACGCCCTCGCAGCAAGCCGGCGACGCGGTTGCCGCTACAGCCGTGCCGACGCAAGCTGCCTCGCCGTCGGCTCCACCCCCTCCCCCTCCTCCTCCTCAGGGCCCGTGCCCGCCGCAGCCAAACATGTGCGACTTCTACTTCCAAGGCAGCACGGAATCTCTCCCCGTGTTCAACATCTCCGACGGCGCCGGCGACACGCGCCTCGGCGGGCCCATCGAGGCGTCTATTCGCGGCGCGACTGTGGAGGTGATTGCGGCGAACAGCGAGCTCGCGGACTACATCTGTCAGGACGGCGTTAACGTCTGGAGCGCTCCGTCCGCCAGCTCCGGTAACTCGACGACGCTGGGACCCGATAACCAGTTCTACGCCGTGCAGGACGGCATCCAGTCGCGTACGTTCCAGCCGGCGGCGGGCGGCGCGGCGACGTACCAGGGCAAGTACGTGCGAGTGAACCTGACGGCGATCGAGATCAGCGTGTACAACATGGTGTCGAACGTCAACAAGGGGCAGAACTACTCCTACTTCCCCGAGGACCGCCGCTGCGTCGTCTTCCAAGTCTAACGGACCCGCGGGTCCTCCCTCCGATTTCAAGGTATTGTACTCTGCTGCCCTTGGCGTTTCTCTCTGATATTTCTTGTCTGCTGTTCCTGGCTGCTGTTCCTAGTCGTATGATATTAGTTTTTATTGCTGTCCTGGCTTACATAAAAGACTTCTTTCGCGTGCCACCGCTGGAGGCCTTCGCTTTAGCTGCAGCATTAGCAGTAGGACGCGAAACTCAAGCTCAACTTTGCGCGTCAGCACTTGGCACGTGCATGCCGTCCAGCGCTACGTGCACGCCGTCCAGCGCTACGTGCATGCCGTCCAGCGCTACGTGCATGCACTTGGAGCATCGCAGCAATGTGCTAAGGCACATACTTCCACGCATATTTTTAATTACCTTAACTTCTGTTAGCATAGTGCGATGACAAAGATGGCACGAGCCTTAAAGCCAGGATCTCAAGTAGTTTGGCTGTTTTGCAGTTAGTGAATTGTGTTAGGCTGTGATTGGTTGACGAGGTAGAGTAGTTGACGAGAGCTGAAACGAGGGATGCGAAGCAAACAAAAATCGCAGTGAACTTCCGAACCAACTAGGCACGGAAATCTGGTTGGGTTCCGAAGCTCATTTCCCAGCAATGTGTCTCACTTGCCGAAAAATCTCATGCACAGCAATTTGTTTTGCAATTGAGATTCACGGTCAAATCGGGGATCAGTCGCACACTGAACCTCCAACCCAACCACTCGATTTCGCCTAAACAAACAGGGTGACTCGAGCTGCAAGTGTTTTGCAATTGAAGCCAATTTCTCTTACTTGAGATCCTGGCTTTAAGGAGCCACCGATTCAAATCTGGCATGCGCTCCTCTGCGAGATCTGCCGCTTAACATTATTCGTCCATTCCACTATCTCTAATTCCTAAATTTACTAAATTTACTAGTTTACATTAATATTTCCATTAATATTTACATTAGTCTTTCCATTAATGTTTACTAAATTTGTTCTTATTGAGTTCGTTTCTTGTATTTTTAATGCTGTGTCCCTTATTTTCCCCTCTATCTTTTGCCGCATGCCCCTTGTGGTAAGGATCTGTCGTACCGGTATTCATCTTGCATGACAGGCTTCTGTGGTATCGCTTTTGGTGGCAATCAGATGCATTCAACTGCACGTTGAAGAAATCCTCCTGCAGCCTCTTCATTTCACCACCCAATCTTCCTCCCACCACCCGCAGCAGCATTTTCACCGCCATTGTCATCCCATCCATCACCCTCAATACCACCAGTTACCGCACTGCCTGCTCATCTGCACCTGCCCCTTCGTTTGGACTAGGGCAAACGGCTTGTTTGCTGGAAGGCGTACCTTCCGCTGCAGCGTTGTCAGGTGTACTGTGGTGTTAGGGCCTAGTTGGCAAGCAGTATTGAGGGGAGGGGATTAGGTTGAAGGAATAACTTGGGAGAACCATTGTCTGCAGTGTGACTGAAGTAGGGGGTCTTCTTATGACATTATCAGGAAGCGGATGTAGCTTGGTTGTTATTTGTTTTGTAGGTATCTTCTAATTGGTTAAAAACATTGAATTTGCTAGCTCAGAAGCATGTGCAAAAGTGTAGATTCTATCTTCTTTTGCATAAGCCACTGATGGCAGCTTTTGTTTGTTGCCATATGCTGGAAAAATATGGGAGGTTGAATACAGCAATGATCACATTATAACGGGTTGGAAACTTCAGCCGGAATGCTCGACCCAGTTTCTGTCGACAAGGAATCTGGAACCTCCTGTTGCGGAGCGGTCGTCTGTGGAGTGGAGATGCTATTTACGAACTAACTGGCGTTTCCTTTCACGCGATTCTGGTTCCCATCCACCATAGTTCCTTCATATCGCTGTTGCTCCGCGTTGACTCTGTTCCGACGATTTTCGCACGATTTTCGACGCGATGCAGCTAACGGTGACGACAGCGGACGATCGGATCGTCATGATCCAAGTCGACAACGACGAGCAGGTGCGTTCGCTTGTCGCGTGTCGCTCCATCAGTCCTCTCTCGAACTTCGAATTCGAGCGTAGACTTGATGACATGGCTTCCGCACGACACGTAGCCGATCCCTTAGCGCAAATCTCTCACGACTCACAACCCCTGTGCCTTGCAATCTCGTTAATCTCTCCGAAACTCGCGTTACAGCGACTTCGAGACTGCTTTTGCTCTGCCTTCCCGTCGCATGCTGGAACCGCCACCCCTGCGGCTCACACCCCTCCCGTTCCTCTCTGCGTCTGTCGTCTTTGCAGGTGGAAAACGTGAAGGCGATTTTAGAAGTCGAGGTGCGCCCTTGATTGCTAGTCTCCGCACCTACTTCCCCCTCCTCGTGCCCTGCTCCATACCTGCCGCCGATCCGTGCTTTTCCTCACAGCTGCTTCTCATGCTGCTTCTCATGCTGCTTCTCATGCTGCTTCTCATGCTGCTTCTCATGCTGCTTCTCATGCTGCTTCTCATGCTGCTTCTCATGCTGCTTCTCATGCTGCTTCTCATGCTGCTTCTCATGCTGCTTCTCATGCTGCTTCTCATGCTGCTTCTCATGCTGCTTCTCATGCTGCTTCTCATGCTGCTTCTCATGCTGCTTCTCATGCTGCTTCTCATGCTGCTTCTCATGCTGCTTCTCATGCTGCTTCTCATGCTGCTTCTCATGCTGCTTCTCATGCTGCTTCTCATGCTGCTTCTCATGCTGCTTCTCATGCTGCTTCTCATGCTGCTTCTCATGCTGCTTCTCATGCTGCTTCTCATACTGCTGCTGCGTGCCATGCTGTGCGTCCAGGCTTCACTGCCCGTTGTCGCCTTTCAGTTTGCCCTTCTCGTATGCCCGCGTGTGTCATGCCTTCCGTTCTGTCCCTGTGTGCACGTCCTTGCATGTGTTCCCCTCTTTGTCCTGCCACCTGTCCTGCCATGCATGCTGCCCCGTGTGCTACCACGTGTGCGTGTTTACCGCTGCATGCACGCAGACGGGCATTCCCTTGCCGCAGCAAGCGCTGCTGTTCAACGGGCAGCTGCTGCAGAACCACCAGCGACTGAACGCGCTGGGTGTGGCGGACAACGACCTGCTCTTCCTCACACGGTCAGACCCGCCATACCAGCCTACTAGCTTCACCCGCCCGTCGTGAAGTTTCTGCTATCTCTTCTCCCATCCTTCGTTTGTTTTCCCTCGCCTCTCACTTGGTATCAAGCTCCGTCCCACTCCCTTCATTCCTTGCCTTGTCTCTTCCCACGTTCCTTCCCTTGCTTCTAATGCATCCCAATCCTTTATGGGGTTCTGTGAATGTTTGCGGGAGGCGGAGGGGGGGGGAAGTTTGGGTCGGAGCTTGTGTGTGCTCATGTGTGTGTGTGTGTATGTGTGTGTATGTGTGTGTGTGTGTGTGTGTGTGTTTGTGTGTGTGTGTGTGTGTGTGTGTCTGTGTGTGTCTGTGTGTATGCGTGTGGGTGTGTGCGTGTGTGTGTGTGCTCACCATCAGAGCACACCGGAGTTGGGCGAGGCGATAAGGGACAACAAGGTGGAGGAGATGCAGAAGGTGCTGCGCTGGATGCGGAAGATGCAGAACGAGATGCGCCGCAAGGAGCAGGAGGAGCAGGTGCGTGCACGTCACTCGCTCACACAACAAGTCCGTGGGGCAGCCTGTATGCGTCTCACTTTGTTGATCCGCGTGCACCTCTTTCTGATATTTGTTTGCGTGCTTAGTCGGGCGTATTGTGTTTTCTTAATCTGCATCATTCCTGTGTGTGCTCATGGGTGCATGGGTGGATGAATGCATGGGTGCATGTGTGCATGACTACATGCATGCAGGAGTTGCTATCAGCCGATCCATTTGACCCTGAGGTGCAGCGGAGGATAGAGGAGCGCATTCAGCAGGTGCGTTGTTCATACCACTCCATCCATGCCATGCCATGGAATACCATGCCATGGGATGCCATTCCATATCTCCTTGCCTTGCCAGTTCACTGCACGTTGTGACACATGCATGCTATCCGTCTATCAGCTGATTCCGTCCTCCAGTTTCCGCTGTACTGCCCCCATGTATCTGTCCCCGCCATCACCTCCTGCTCCTCAGCCCCCCTTCCTTACTCCTCTCCATGTCCAACAACTCTCACCCTTCTCTCTTTGTACGGATCCCGCATGTGTGTGAATGTATGCGTGCATGCATCTTGTGTGTATGTGGCGGATGGATGCATGTCACATGTGCGGTGCGGTGCTGTGCCATGGGAGCAGAAGAACATAGATGAGAACTATGCAGCGGCGTACGAGCACGCCCCCGAGCAGTTCATTGCTGTCGTAAGTCTACTGGCTATATTCGATTCGCCTCAACATCTGACCACTTTTGTTTGTTTCTGTGGTACACTCCTCATCCAAGCCTTGGATGAGGAGCATGGCTTGGATGAGCATATGAGCATATGAGCACGCCCCCGAGCAGTTCATTGCTGTGGTAACTTTTTTCCCATCCATCCTTTGCACCATGCCACCCTTCTTTCTCCCACCATGCTTCCCTCCCCTCCCACCATGCTTCCCTCCCCTCCCACCATACCTCCCTCCCGTCACACCATGCACCCCGTCTTGCTCCCACCATGCTGCTCCCATTCCTGCTGCATGTGTGCCGTGCATGCAACCCCGTTCCGCTCACCATCCTCCGCCTTCCTCCCCGCACTGTGCCATTCGTTCTGCCGGTGCCACCCCTCCCGCCCCTCCCCGCCGCCAGCACATGCTGTATGTGGAGATGGAGGTCAACAACTCGCCCATCAAGGTAACTTCCAAAACAGTAACAATTGAGGGAGTGTATCATCAGCTGTATTGGAGTCACTTTTGAGACATTTCAAAATCATCCCCCAAGCACATGCTGTATGTCGGAATGGAGGTCAACAACTCCCTCAGCAAAGTGGCCCCGCCTCCCCTCTTCCACATGCTGTACCACTCTCATCATGCATCTCCCGCACGTGCCAGTCTTTTCCACTATGCCACTTCGCATGTGTCTACGTTTTGTCAATGTGCAACGATGCATGCTGCACCACATGCCCGCATCACCCCATCATCCCAGAATCACATCACCTCATTTTCCGGTCGCCCCATTAACTCAACCCTCGGCCCTTCACATCATCATCCGATCGCCGCATCTCCATGACCCCATGAACCAACCAACCACCCCCATGCAGGCGTTTGTGGACAGTGGGGCGCAGCAGACCATCATGTCACAGCGATGTGCTGAGCGATGCGGGTACGCCCTCACTCCACAACCCATGCCTGTTGCTCTGCTCTGCACCTTCATACTGCTCTGCTGACATCTTCCTCACCCGACTTCCATGCCACCCCACTCCCATCCCACCAACGCCCCTCGCTCTTGTCCTTGCCATGAAGCTACCCACCATCTCCACTGGTCATCTCATCTGCATGCATCCACGCTCGCCCCCCATGTGTTGTTCCGCCCCCCATGTGTTGTTCCGCCCCCCATGTGTTGTCCTGCCCATGCATCCATGTGTGCTTACTTGCGTGCATGTACGGGTGCATGTTTGCGTGCTTGTGTGTGTGCATGTGTGCATGCGTGTATGTGTGAGTGAAGGCTGATGCGGCTGCTGGACCGGCGGTACGAGGGGGTGGCGCGGGGCGTGGGCACGTCCAAGATAGTGGGGCGCATCCATACCGTGCAGCTCAAGGTGGGGGTGGGGGGGAGTGGAGAGCGGTTGAGAGGAAAGGGGGGAAGAGGGAGGAGGGAGGAGGGAAGGAGGGGAGAAGGGGTTGGGATGCGATGATGGGTGGGATTAGAGGAGGAGTGAGGGTAATGGAGGAGGGTAGTGGGGGGTTGCAGCAGGAGAAAGCTGGTGGATGAAGGGGGGGGGCGCTTGGCACGGAGTAATAATCACAAGAGGTTTCGCTCCTCGGCCTCTCTCCCACGTTCTTCCCCTCGGGTGGGAGTGCATGCGTGCACTATCACATGTGTATGCATACTATGCGTGTTCGTGAGCGTGTGTGCCTATGACTCTGCCTGTGCGTGTGCCTGATCCTGTGTCTGTGCATGGCGTTGTTTCTGTGCTCTGATGACGTCGTGTGTGTATCAGATAGGAACCAACTTCTACATGTGCAGCATCACGGTGTTGGAGGCAGACAACGTGGACTTCCTCTTTGGTCTCGACATGCTCAGACGCCACCAGGTGCACTGCTCGCTGCTGCACCTTCACCCCACTCCCTTCCCCTCGTGCACACCAGAAAAGTCTGCGTGCCACTCATTTGTCATCAGGCCTGTCCCTTTTCTCAGGTTTGCTCTGCTCTCACGCAATCCTGCTCCCCCACAATGCTGTCTCTCTCACAAAGTTGTCTCTCACCAACCACAATGTTCCCCCTCCCCATGCTACCGCCAGTGTTGCATCGATCTCAAGGACAACGTATTGCGAGTTGGAGGGGGTGAAATAGCAGTGCCCTTCCTCTCAGGTACGTTATTCCACCAGTAACCAGCATTTCAGAAAACGAGAACAAGTAATGTCCTATGTAATTCCCCCGTCTAGCGTTTTTCACCTTTCCCTTCCAGCCCTGGTTCCGCTACCCTTCTCAGCCTACCTCTTACCCTCTTCGCTTCACCCCTTCTCCACCACACTCTCCTCCCACAACGCTGCCCTTCTCACCTGCCACTCTCTCCACTCCCGTCCCACCTGGGTGCGTGTGTGCAGAGAAGGACATCCCGGCCTTCCTCACCGCAATGGACCAGGACCCTTTGCCCGACTCCGCCACCCCTGCACAGCCCTCCCAACCCTCCGCTTCCGCTGCTGGTACCTCTGCACCCGCTGCACCCTCCGCAGCACAACCAGCAGCAGCAGGCACAGCAGCAGGGGGTGCTGCGAGTAGCGGGGGAGGGGCGCCAGCAAGTCAAGGCGGTGCTCCTGTGTCAGCAGCAGCAGGTGCTGCATCACCAGCAGCATCCGGTGGGTAGGTGAGCTCAAGCCGTGTGCACTCCACACTCAGGGCCTCTCTCCCCTGTCCACTCTGCTCCAATACCTTCCCTTCCCTTTAGGCACCTCCCCTCCTCATTGTACAAATATCTCAGGGTCCATCCACCGCTGTGCACACGCCCCCTGCACCCTCACCCGTCCTCCCACCCACCCTCTCTGCGCTGCATGCAGGCAACACCAGCAGCAGCCCCAGCAGTGTCAGCGCACGAGGTGAAGGTGCAGCGGCTGATGGAGCTGGGGTTCCCCCGGCAGCTCGTGGAGCAGGCTCTTGCACTCACAGGGGACAACGAGGAGCACGCTGCTGGCATACTCTTTGCCGGCTGATGCTGCTGTCACCTGCTGCTGCTGCTGCTGCAGCTAGGCCGTCATGTATATTCTGCAGTGGGTGCTCCACTGTGCATCAGTCATCGACTACCATGCGTGCTCTGCATGCACTGCACACTGCTTGTTTGACAAAGAAACTGTTTGCATATGGTTATCTCACAAATGCGATCTCAGTTCCCTCAGTAAGGTTGATTGAGGAGGGATTACCGGTACGGTACCACAAGCTTGGGCAGAGAGAAAACCAGTTGTGTGGGTGGATGATTCTGCAAGTAATTAGACCAACTAAGGTGCTACGGGCACGGCAAAGCCCCTCACACAAGCCCACGTGGTTGCACAAACTTCAATGTGCGATGTGCAAATCCTAACTGGCCCACTCTACCTCATTGCTGATAGCACCACCCATGTAGGTAACAGGTCTTCCTGTCGTCAACAAATCTGCAACCATGCAATGTCCTCTGTGACTCCGACCATCCACCCAAGCCATCGCTATAATGCAAGAACGGAGAATGGCGGGAATAGCCACAGAGAAATGGGAACGGGGATGGAGGATTACGAGGAAAGGCACTGTTACTGAGAGATACTTTGGTTAGCGAGTCCAATCCATGACAGTAGGTACATCGATCCAAATCACGATTTTCATATTCTTTAGTTGCCTCCACCATATTTAGATTCCTGTGAAACAGGTCCGATCAATACCGGTATGTTCATGTGTGAGGTTTCTCGGTATATCTGCTTATACTCGCATACCAGGTCACCTGGATTCTCTTTATCAAGGCATGCAGTAAGAGGTGTACAAACAGCAAGTACATGATCCTTAAGGTGCAATCAATATTATCCATTAATTCTCTGCCTAGACATCATAACAAGCTGTCTAATCCCACTAGTATCCTTCCTAGTGCTAGTCTTGTCAACCACAGGTTCATCATAAGTCCTTCATGTACTATCCATGCATGCCATCCATGCCCACCCCGGCATGGACTGGCAGCGCAACAGGCAGAGAGGAAGCCTGAGCCATGAGCATTGCTTCGCCCAAGACGTGCGAGTGCCCTACTAGGGACTAGCTCTGCCCACCCCCACCTCCACCAAATGACAACAACTGCTGGCCAGACAGTGTTGGCACTTGGCGGGGGCGGAGGGGGACAGAACCAGTCCGGTTTGGCCCGGATTCGAGTGCTTAGCCCAATGCTCAAGGGTTCAACCCCTCTCATGCACTGTCTTCAACCTTCAACAGCCATAGTTGCTGCCCATAAAAGAACCTGCATGGTAAGAAAGAGAAAAATTAGTCCAGGCTCTTTAAAAACAGAAAGGAGGCAGCATGCGACAAAGCAAAGTGATGAACACAAATTCATAAAATAGATTTAGCAAAACCGATTTGGCGCAAAGGACTGAGACTTATCTGCAGTTGGGGAGTTGAAGGTGTTGAGCAGTGCGCAGGGACTTGAGGCTTCGTGGCCGTGAAGAGATGCATTGAAGAGGGCCCTTGGAGAGAACCTGCCAGGAGGTAAACGAACCAAGTCAGTGAACGAGATCATTATGAAGCCACAACTTGAATAAAGCAAAAGAATCAGCAAGAGGGAAGTGCAGAAAACTAAGCAAGCGTTAAAGACAAGGCGCAGGCAACTTATCTCGTCGCCATTCTTGAGCCTTGAGGAGCCTCAACAGACCATGGTGAGCCATGGATGGTCGCTTGGTTGAGCAACCTGCCACATACAGTAACAATAAAACCAAGTTAGTAAATCAAGCAACTTCGGAATCACTAAGCAACAGAAAGCAAGAGATGAGTCCAGAGAGAGGGGACTTACTGCTGGTGGAGAGAGAGGAGGCGCCTGCCAGTGGTGTCGGCAGGTACGTTCACCCCGCGCTTAGCAGTGTGGAACAAGCGCGTTGAATAGACCCTGCAAGAATAAACAAGCGAACGTTAGTAAACTGAATTAACAAAGGATGAAAAAACAACACTCAAATACTTACCACGCCACCACAGAGCCGATTACCAACCTAAGGGACCTGTACCGCACCTGTACCAAACCTTTACCGAACCTTAACCGGGGGGGGTGGCTCTGTGGGGCCGATACGTTCAACCTTAACCGTGAAGGTAAGTTGCGGAGCTGCTCCTTTGTTGCCATGAAGCTTGGAGGGTTGATGTAATGAAGGCCGTCGGTCCTCCAATGACTTCTGAAGTGGCGCCCAGGAGGCTCCATATCCAACCTGCAAGTATAAAAACGCATAAGTTAGTAAACTGAATTAACAAAGGATGCAAAAACAAAACTCAAAGAATACTTACCACGCCACCACAGAGCCGATTACCAACCTAAGGGACCAGTACCGCACCTGTACCAAACCTTTACCGAACCTTAACCGGGGGGGGTGGCTCTGTGGGGCCGATACGTTCAACCTTCACCGTGAAGGTAAGTTGGGGAGCTGCTCTTTTGCTGCCGTGAAGCTTGAAGGGTTGATGTAATGAAGGCCGTTGGTCCTCCAATGCCTTCTGAAGTGGCGCCCAGGAGCCTCCATGTCCAACCTGCAAGTACAAAAACGCATAAGTTAGTAAATCGAATAAAAAAAACCGTGCAAAAACGAGCAATAACTGTGCAAAAGCGGAAAAAACATATGCTGCTGCTTACCACAGCACCACAGAGCCGATTACCAACCAAAAAAAATACCAGGAGACCTGTACCGCACCTGTACCAAACCTGTACCAAACCTAAACCGGGGGGATGGCTCTGTGGTGGGTTTGATACATTCAACCTTCACCGTGAAGGTAAGTTGGGGAGCTGCTCCTTTGGTGCCGTGAAGCTTCAAGGTTGATGTAATGAAGGCCGTTGGTCCTCCAATGCCTTCTGAAGTGGCGTCCAGAAGCCTCCATGTCCAACCTGCAAGTATGAAAACGCATAAATTAGTAAATCGAATTCAAAAACAAGCAAAGACTATGAAAAAGCGGGAAAAACACATGCTGCTGCTTACCACAGCACCACAGAGCCGATTACCAACCAAAAAAAATTACCTTGAGGGGACCTGTACCGCACCTGTACCAAACCTATACCAAACCTGTACCAGGGGGGATGGCTCTGTGGTGGGGTTGATACATTCAACCTTCACCGTTAAGTTAAATCGAGGAGCAGCTCCTTATTTGCCCGCCATGAAGATTGGTTGGGAGGCTGCCAAAGGTTGTCCCTCCACCAATGCCTTCTGAAGTACGAACAGGAGCCTCCATGCAAGCTGCAACAATAAAAATGAGCAGAAGTTAGTAAACGGATTGAAGAAAAGAATGCAAGAAAAACGAACAAAAAACGAAAACGAAAAACGGCTGTTTGTGTACCTGACGTTGAAAACAATAACCAGGTGAAGTCGTCTAACGAAGATGTGAGACGTCATGACGCTCGGCGATTCGACCAATCGATATATGCCAGGCTGACTGGTGGCGACGTGAAACGATGACGACGCTTTGAAACCGCTAGAGCGAACGAAAGCTAAGCTCGGTTGACAATAATGTCAAGGAGGCTGAAGAAACGAACTAATTTTCGAGGAGAACAGCGGATGATCATCAATGGATCTGCAGGAAACCGTGCACCTGCCTGAATGCGGTCCATTGGGATCCCGACGTCGCGACGCCTAACGTGATGAAACCATTCAATGGTTGAGAATATGCCTTGCTGGCTGTGAAGGTGGTCCCACATGTGCCACGCTGGAATGCGGTGGATCGGAACAATCCGCCGAAAACATGAAAAGTAGCTTCCAATTGGATCGCCTAGTGTGGAGTCGACCACATGCGATGGGAGCATTATCCTGTGGCTTCAGTTGAAGACAGGTAGGCTAATTGATTGGACAGAAAGAAACACGGGTAGAAACACCAATTTCGAAAATCTTGTGACGTGGCCAAAAACAGCCGCTAATCCAACGGCGCGGTTCGTTTCCCGAAGCGTGATATCACTTTGAGCCGCTCTAGTGCTGAGGCGGATCCAGGGCGATGAGTTGGGCTGGGTCTGACACAAGCGGCGGCAGACAGCTACAGAGCAGCTATGAGGTCATCATCCGCTTGAAGGAGGCCAGCCAACTCAGGTTCTTGCGAATTGGCGAACCCATTGGTTACTGAAAATTGCCCTTCGTCGACGCGAACAGATATCTCTTGAGGTGTGTGCGGGAGGGCTCCAGTCGAAGCGATGGCGGGAAATCTGTCCGTGTCATACACCTCAGGATCCAAAATGACCATCCAACCCAACCCATGTTGAATACATTCATGGTAGAGTACACAGTTGGGTTGACAATTGCATATTGGTTCTGATTGTCCATATGCAAACGATTTTGCTAAGGGCGCGTATTTGTGCAGGGGGAGGTGTGTTGAACGTGCTTGTGGAGAAGGGCAGGCTCGAACTTTCTAGGAGGTGGTTGACGGAGGTTGAACAACCGCTGGAGGTTACGCGAAAGTCGAAGGTCAGCGACCTTTGACTTGACAAGTACAGCGCGACAGCAAGGACAAACAACTGACTCGCTATTGAGCAGTTGCCCGAGTCGTCACTGTATCGAACCGCAACAGCAATAGCAAAACGGTTAACCCTTCATATTCCCTTGTACTCTTATAAAAGCTTGTATCTCTTGTTATTAATCAATCTACTTTGCCCTCACACACCAGCGCAAGGTGGTTCACAACCTTTCATTAAGCGCTTCCGCTATTACATGAGTCCTACCAGGAGTTTAGTCCCGCAAAGATCCTAAGGGCTCCCTTCTCAGCCCAACAATGTAATTGTTGCAGCTAGAATATGCTAGCATCTATGGTGATTTTTAAGCTGCACTGATGAGGATCAGTAGAATCTGCAGGAGCATGGTATTCTCAAGAGTAAGTTGTTGATACCGGTATGATGTATGTATCGCACATCAGCTTGTCTACAGACTTTTCAGATGTCATACAAGACAACCTGTTTGTCCTTAAATTCTACCCTACACCTACTACACCTGCACTGCAGTGTTTTGTATTCGGAGCAACTACAGTGCCGTGTTTCACGCACTCATACTAAACCCCCATTACCTGTGCTATAATTGGGTCAAGAGTCCCAGGAATCCCCATTTGCAGACTCTCATCGCCCATCCACCCACACCCACTCCCACCCACACCCATCGTTGCATGACCCCATCCCCCCCCAGTCATCAGTGGTTGAACGGCCCCCCTCGCAGAGTCTCATACCCCCCGCCACCAAGCCCACCGCCCCCACCCCCTGGTCCCCCGGCAGTGGCAGGGCCTTGGGCGTTCATGCTCCATTTCTTGTACTGACTCCACCCCAGCATACCCATTGTTATCACTGCTGCTGCTCCCAGGGGAATCGTCACCGTCCAAACGGCCCTCCTCCTAGTGTCTCGTACCCACCACCAAACCCAGCAGACCCACCCCCACCCCCTGGTCCCCCGGCAGTGGCAGGGCCTTGGGCGTTCATGCTCCACTTCTTGTACTGACTCCACCCCAGCATACCCATTGTAATCACCGCTGCTGCTCCCAGGGGAATCGTCACCATGAGCACGACCATCAGAGTGTTGACTCCCGAGTCGTTCGGGGGAGAGGGAGGGGCGGTTGTGGTGGTGGTGGTTTTCGGCTTGATGATGGCTGAGGCGTTGTAGGAATCGGGGAGCATTTGCGGGACGGTGGTGTTGGGAATGCCGGCACCTGGAAACAGGAAGAAAGCAGGGGGGAGAGGGAGGTGGGAAGAGAGGAGGGAACGAGGGAAATGGTGAGACGGGGGAAACGGGGTCAGAGAATTGTGAGCATGAGTACGACCATCAGAGTGTTGACGCCCGAGTCGTTGGGGGGTGAGGAAGGGTGGGTACCTGCAAAGTAGACGACGAGGGAGGGGGGTAAGGGGAAACGGGGGTGGGGAATCGTCACCATGAGCACGACCATCAGAGTGTTGACGCCCGAGTTGTTGGGGGGTGAGGAAGGGGCAGTTGTGGTGGTGGTGGTTTTTGGCTTGATGATGGCTAAGTGTTGTAGGAATCGGGGAGCATTTGAGGGACGGTGGTGTTGGGGATACCGGCACCTGGAACAAAGGGGCATGGGAGAGTAGTGGAATGGGAAAAATATTAGTAAATGACAGTGCTTGTGTTTGTGGTGGTGGTGGTTTTCGGCTTGATGATGGCTGAAGTGTTGTATGGATCAGGGAGCATTCGCTGGACGGTGGTGTTGGGGATACCGGCACCTGGAAACAGGAAGAAAGCAGGGGGGAGAGGGAGGGGGAAAAAGAGACGAGCGCACGGGGGAAATGGTGAGACGAGGGGAATGAATGAGGAATCGGGGAGCATATGTGGGACGGTGGTCTTCGGGATACCAGCACCTGGAAATCAGGGGAGAGAGACAGAAGGGAGGAAACAAGGGAGAAATGGTGAGACTTGGGAAGGGATATTTGGCTTGAGGCTGAGGCGTTGTGGGAATCGGGGAGCATATGTGGGACGGTGGTGTTGGGGATACCGGCACCTGGAAAAGTGGAGGGGGCAGGGGGGGATGGGGGAGGGAAGAGGGGAGAGAACGAGGGACATGGTGAGATGGTTTGCTGCTGGTGCTGGAGCTGGTTCTGGTTATCAGCGTAAAGACTGCGACGATTTTTTTGAGGCGCCTCAAAAATGGTTTGCTGCTGGAGCTGGTTCTGGTTATCAGCGTAAAGACTGCGTAGGACTCGGGAGGATCTGCGGGGTGAGGAACCTTCCTAGGGGTGGGAGGGGAGGGCGGTGGAGGAGGAGGAGGAGGGGGGGGGGGGGGGGGGGGGGGGGGGAGGGGAGGGTGGGTGTGAAGAGAGGCGGAAGGTACAGGGAGACGGGAATCAGGACTTGCAACAACAGGGCCTCACCAAAGCATAGACCAAACTGGGTAAAAGGTAAAGCTGGAGCCTCACCATCATCAGGAGGCGGAGAAGGCTTGGGAGCAACCACCGGCGGCATTGGCGCACACCTACTCTTTGGTCAACAGATTTCTACACATTCAAAGAAAAAAAAAAAAACAAAAAAATGGCAAAAAGCTGGAGTCTCACCATCATCAGGAGGCGGGGAAGGCTTGGGAGCAACCACCGGCGGCGACGGCGACGGCGGATTCAGCGGGTCAATCGGGTCAGTCGGAGTCAACGGGCCATTCGCGCCGGGCGGCGGGTCAAACGGACTCGCAAACGGGTTGTTCGGATCGGACGGGTCCACTGCTCCCGCATTCGGCGGCGTCGTTGGCGGAATCTGCACCTTCGGTGTCGGTGCGGGCGGCAGCGTCGGCACCTTCGGTTTGGGCGGGAGAGTCGGCACTTTCGGCTTTGCCACTGGCGGTTTTGGCTTTTTTATCAAGCTCGCTTTTGGGTCCTTTCGACTGGGCTCTAATGGGAAACTCGCGACTCTGCCTTTAAAAGGGTTTAGCGTAAACGAGTCGGTGGTTGTTCGTTGCGGAACGGGGATGAGATCGAATGGTAACGGGTTGACATTATCGGGTATGAGGGGGCCCACTGGGGGTGCTGGTGACGGGTCAACCGGTTTCGGATTGGTGATCTTCGGCGGGAATGATATTACCGGGGGGGTTTTGACCGTGAACGGGGGAACGATTGTAACGGGAGGTAAGTTGGCGGCCGGATCGCTCGCGATTGGCGGCGACGAGTCGCCCTTTTTCTTCCCGTGCTTCCCCTTCTTTCCGTGCTTCCCTTTACGGCTCGATCCCCTCCGTCCTTTCTTCCGCCTGCTTGATCCTGAGCCGTTGGATGAACCCCTTTGCCTCCGGTCCCCATCTCCCTCCGTGCTTCCGTCATCTGGGTAGTCGCCTTCGTTATAGTCACCCTCGCTACCGTCGCCCTCGCTATAGTCGTCGTCGCTAGAATCTCCATCACTGTACTCGTCCCCTCCGTCTCCAGAGGAATCGCTGTTATAGTCACCTCCATCCCCGCTATAATCGTCGTAGCTGTCATCCCCGTTACTGTCATCCCCGTTACTGTCGTCAACACTCCGCTTCTCCCGAGCATTCATATCGGAGTAATCGCCGTCGTCACCTGAACCTTCGGTAGACCCTGATCCCTCGCCGTCGCCGCCATCACCACCATCCCCATCGCCGCCCCCGTCACCACCTCCGTCGCCGCCGTCGCCGCCACCATCACCACCGTCGCCACCTCCGTCGCCTTCGTCGCCACCTCCGTCGCCTCCGTCGCCACCTCCGTCACCTCCGTCGCCACCTCCGTCACCTCCGTCGCCGCCGTCGCCGCCATCACCACCACCATCACCGCTGTCACCACCGTCGCCGCCTCCGTCGCCGCCTCCGTCACCACCCCCGTCGCCGCCACCACCGTCGCCCCCGTCGCCTCCGTCGCCGCCCCCGTCGCCACCTCCGTCGCCTCCCCCGTCGCCATTATCGCCATCAGAAGAAGACTTTTTCGAATGCGACGAACCTTTCGAATGCGACGAGCCTTTCGAATGAGAACCAGAGGAGGACTTTTTCTTCTTTCCTTTCTTTTTGGAACTTTTTCCTCCTCCTCCGTCTCCTCCTCCGTCTCCGCCTCCGTCCCCGCTGCCGTTTCCGTCGCCGTTTCCGTCGCCACCGTCTCCGCCTCCGTCCCCGCTGCCGTTTCCGTCGCCGTTTCCGTCGCTTCCGCTCTCGCCGTCTCCGTTTCCGTCGCCCGATGACCCGTCGCCGTCTCCCCGCGCATAGCGCTTCTTTGAACCCTTTGTCTTTTTCTTCGACGAGCCGCTCCCGCTACCTTCCCCGTCTCCTCCGGAGCTCGAACCATCCTTAGAGCTTTTCTTTGATCCCTTTTTCTTAGAACTCTTTTTCTTAGAACTCTTTTTCTTCGAACTCTTTTTATTAGAGCCCTTTTTCTTCTTCTTTCCAGAGGAAGACGAGCCTCCGTCTCCTCCGTCGCTCCCTCCTCCGTCTCCTCCGCCGCCCCCTCCCCCATCTCCGTCACTTTCTTGGACACTTTTTCCGTCACTTCCTCCGTCGCCTGACGAACCTCCGTCACCACCTCCGTCGCCGCTGCCAGAGGAAGACCGGTCCCCGTTAGAAGAGGATCCGCTATCGGACGAGCTTGAGCCGCTATCGCCACCGTCCGACGAAGAGCTCTTTTTACTCTTCTTCTTTTTCTTGGATCCAGATGAAGAGGAGGAAGAAGACGACGAATCGCCGTCATTCCCGTCGCTGGAAGAAGACGACGACTTTTTCTTCTTGCTCTTTCCTTTTTTCTTCTTAGACGACGAGGACGAGGAGGAGGAACCTTCGCCGTCTCCAGACCCCGACGAATCACCACCGTCGGATCCTGAATCGGACGACGACGAGGAACCGCCGCCGCTGTCAGAGGACGAATCCGAAGACCCTGATGAATCTCCTGAAGAATCTCCTGAAGAAGAATCGCCGTTGCTATCAGACGACGATCCGCTGCTCTTGGAACTTTTTTTGGATTTCTTCTTTTTAGAAGACGATGACGATGACGAAGAATCTGAGGAAGAATCCGAAGAGGAGGAAGAGCTCTTCTTTTTCTTCTTTCCGCTGGAGCTGGACGACGAATCAGACGAGGACGACGAGCCTGACGATTTATCGGACGAACCGCTGGAACTTCCGTTTCTATCGCCTCCACCATCCCCATCGCTCGAAGAAGATTCTGACGAGGACGACGATTTTTTATCTGACGATGAGTCGGAGCTTCCAGAGTCTGACGACGAAGACGACGAGTCGCCACCGCCGCCGTCGCCACCTCCGTCGCCACTGCCAGAGTCTGACGACAAACCGTCGCCAGAGTCGGATGACGAGGCTAGTTGCCGTGCGACAACTTCAAGGTGCTCCTTGAGTTTCTGGGGGTGGGCACGATTGGGAGCAAGCAAAAAAATAAATTGATGACAAGATGTAAGGTGTACGTATTTATATGAACTTTATGCAAAATGTTTGAGGAGGTGTACGAATGAAATGCAGTGGTTAATTTCATCAGAATGGCTTCACAAAACGTCGATCGAATTCGGTTCTTCAGTTTGATCATAACGTACCTCAGATCGACGCTTTTGGTTCCTACAACTGCATCATCTCACCTTTGTCTCTGATATTGATGTCCGTCCATTCGACAATTGCCACGTATCCATGTCTCCGGCGGCTCCTTCATAACTTCTTGCAGCGTCTGAAAGGAACGCGATGAGAGGAGAAGGGGAAATATTGCGTTCGGAACTAGAGTACCGGCACCATTCTTGTAAGGAGGGTAGCACATACTCAAATGCCTCAGTTAGAGTAAATCGCTCCCACGGGAACCTGCCTTAGTGTTTTGTTCACCGTTGCCTCGGTTGCAATGTACACCGATATAATCACACCATCAAACTCCAACTTAGCTACTTCAAGTTGAAAAGCTTATGCATCAAGAACCACTTTCTCCTCCGCTGTTGTATACGTTGGTGAAGTCCTGACAATTCCCTTGTTTCACGGGGAAGAGTTATATCTTTACCTTGACTTTGCGCGGGAGTTGCGGCGTGGAGGATGATAAGCACCGTAACGAGTAAAACAACGTCGGAGGACATAAACAGGCCCCTCCCCTCTGCTTTCCCCATGATCGCTAGCTCAGCTAAACTTTCAATTGAACTGTGTCTCCTACTATTCTACTCCATGCCACGGCGCCTCGAAGAAAAAAAAGGCCTCCGAATGTGCCTCAAACGAGGGGACGATGCCGACCTCAACCCGACAGTACCGTAATGCCTTATCTCTGTTTGAGAACCCTATGCACCGATGCGACTCGACGACGCTTGCTAATCAAATCGATACGTTCGGTCTGGTCGAGAGAGACTCGATAAGGCGAGCCTTGCTGCGTCGCTCGCCAGGGAGGCCAGAAGATCGAACGCAAGCGCCCTCGAGGCAATACTTACGAAAAAGGGCGGCAGGATTGATTGTAACAATTACACTCTACTGGCTCTGCTGTATCGGGTTTGACGATCTCTGACGAAGGGCAACTGCAATGCGCTTGGACGGAACAGAGATAGCAGACGGGAGCAGTTCAGCGCTACTCTGAGAGTCTAACTGCAATGCCTATTCGTCTGACTGAGACAACGAGGATCAGACTGGTCGAGCGAGACTCGAAAATCCGGTCAGTCGCCAAGGGCTGGGCGTGGTTGAGAAAAGCGACTGAATCACGTGCACGTGAGAACGCGTTCCGGAAGACGTGCAAAGGCGATGCGAGATGGCGGCCTACTAGCACGCCAAGGGTGCAGGCTGGAACCGCGACGAATGACGTGGTCGTGATGAGCCAAGGGGCTATATGAGGGAGGGATTGGTGGTTGTGACTTCTTGCTTGCAATATGTTGCGAGAGTGCGAGGTGGTGTGGGTGGAGTGCAGAGAGAAGCAGCCCAACCTAAGTGAAGGTTGCGTGTGTTGCATGCTGAGAAAGACCACAGCTCACGACACCAACGCAACCAAGGGCTGGGAACGTGCGGGAGGGGAAGAAATTACTGGATGTGCGGGGGGCCAACAGAATTGGCTGGTCGTTGGGTCTCACGATGAGGAAAGAAATTGGTGCAGGCAATGTGGGATCGAATCGCACATTGAAGTTGGAAAAATAGCGCTTTGGGAAGGTGGTTTGTTGACTCTTTCGTGGTGTAGGGTGCCATGTCAGACGCTGGCTGCGCCTTTTGATCGCACGTTGCGGGACTCACGGTGAGCCTTCAGTTTCGGTCAGCGCAGGTCTCGTAAGAGGGCAACGTGGACAACACTCTGTCGAAGCTACACCAGACGTATATTTTCCTGCTAAGAGGAACACACAAACAGAAGCAACAACGCACCCTGAATAACGCACCCTGTTAGATGGCGCATGGGCTTATACTGTGACGAATACGCCTATAACTGGTTATCGATTATCGAGGCATCCTCGTTGCAGATTCGCGATTCGCGCTCGCTTCTCCGATCTACAACATTGTTCACTGTCCTTATAGAGTATATGACTGCGTGACTTTATTTTGCTTCTTTTACATGAATGTGCACGTGATTGTACACGACACGTATTGTGCTTCTCTTATAAGCGCTGGGGATTGCGTGTTGTGAATGTGCATGAACAGCACATACCTCAGGCTGGACTAATATTGCTTTTGGCATCATTTTAGTCAAACGTTTGTTCCACTGCTGGATGTAAATGCTTGAGTTGTGAAGCATGGTGATTCATCCCAAACTACTGCTGAAAAGCTCTGTTTGGGACTGTATGAAGACGAACACATACCATAGGTTGAAACCAACAACTCCAAAAACTCGGTTGTGCTTTATACCAATGAACAGCAAAAAGCTACCACCGGGTCCTAGATCTCTAGCTCAATGAATGAAAAAAATCAGAAATACCGCTGAAGGTCAAGGTTTGCAGAGCAATGGATATAAAGATTATGGTGGTTTGCTCAGAAACTTGTAAGACTGAATTTGTCAACACGTGCATTTTCAGCGGATTGACAGATTTAACAGTGGTAATCATCATTGCAAACCAAGACTGGGACCGCAACGGAACAAAAGACGAGAGGACAGTGGAGAAACGGGAAAAGAAAGGGAGTGAGTGGGAGAGAGCGGGAGGGGGGAGGGAGAGAGGGAGAGAGAGGGAGAGGGAGAGAGGGGGAGGGAAAGGGAGAGGGAGAGAGAGAGAGAGAGGGATGAGGGAGAAAGGGAAGGAGACAGGGAGAGAGCACGGGTGAGCTAGTGAATGAGAGGCCAAGGGTGGCCTGATGAGGGGTCATTATCGTAGTAGCTCGAAGCTAGGTTGTGCGCAGAATGATTGTTGATTGGGTTCATAAGTTGATCCCGTCAACTGCCCATTCCCCGCATATTCTGTTCTTGCAAAACACTCATTCAGTTCACAGGATAGGTAGCCTGTCTCTGAACACACTCGGTTTTGCGTATAGTTGATTCAGAAGTCAAAAAATGCTACCAAATCTGAAATGCACCACCTAGGACGGAAACACAAAATGATAAAATGGAAACAGTGAAACGTGGATGGGGTCTCGAGAACTCAGAAGGTTATACAACCAGGTACACATCACAGATGTCAGAAGCAGAACTGGCGTTACTGGTTGGGTTATCATCACCGCTCTCGGCAGCACGAAAACATGAAAAGTGAGAGAAAGAGTGAGAGGAGAGGAGTTCGACAATGAAATGTGCGCAGAATGATTGTTGATCTGGGTCATGGAATCAACCCCCCAACTGCCCATTCCCCACGAGTCCATTCTGGCAAGACCACCTTCAGTTGGCAGGCACTGGAAGCCTGCTACTGTACACATAAGGTCTGCTGAATAGGCCTTTCTGGTGTAACCAGGACGTTACACGTGTGACACAAGCCAAGAACTAGGCCCCAGGTAAGGAGCTCTGCGTACTGTAGCTTAGATACAAATGCAGAAGAAAAGACGTAGAAAACGACAGCACAAAAAAAACAGCTTTCATATTCAGAACCGAAATCAGAATTTCTCGTGAGGAAGACTGGTTCAATGGCTCTCAGCAGCCTGTGTGTAGTCAACTGCTCGGACCCACCAATCAGATTGCACTCCACTTGCAAGAAGCCCACCCCAGCGGCACTAGGCAGAGCCTCGCCCAGAAAGCCGTCCTCCCTCACATTACACCCAGCAAGCGAGCCAAATCCATGGCTTGATTGCTGCTGAATGAACGGTCAGGATTGGGACAGGGTTCGGATGCCTGTGCTCTGCAGTGGCTGGCCATTGATGGCGTGGAGGCGAGTTCTGACGGTCAGACGTCGCATCAGACGGCACTTCCTATCGTCAGGTCATAGTGTCATCACCGAGCCAAAAGACCGCCTCTATTTTCAGGAAGCTCAACTTTGAAAAGAACCTTGCTGTCCTTCCAGTCACCCCGTGATGATCTCGCACACCTCAACCAATCAACTCGCTTGTGGCACTTGCACTGGCACCGCTTGTGGGGGGTAAGCAGAAACCTCGAACCTTCGATTGCGTGGAAATTTCACGAGACAACAGACACGGGACCTTGCGGGAAGAACATAGGCAAATACGAATCCAGCAGCTGCAAACAACGAGCGCATTATACTACTCACAGGGACCCCTCATGACATACCGCACGGAAAAAACAGTGGCTCGGAACTTCACATCACATGTCAAAGCATGAACGTACGAGCTGGGAGAAGGAAAAACGTCTCTAGATTCTAGGGCTTCATAGTTGCTTGGGTGCGTGGAGTCTCTGAAAAATCCTGTTCTCCAACAGGAAATGAGCGGGTTGGACAACAGAACCCCAGAATTCCTCAACAATTCCTCAGGGCCTGATCCAGGCTGGGAAAGGAGACAATCCATGTGCTGGTGGTTTACCACAAACGAATCTATTGAATTATTCTACACTTCATATCTCGGCGTATACATAATCGGTATTCAAATGAAGAACAAATGTTGCATAAAAGCAGAATCTCGCGTTGTCACCAAACCAGCAATTCAATGGTCACACTTAGAAAATCTAACGGTGTCACCGATGCTTTCGGCGCTTGGCGGCTCAGAACAGACGCGACTCGAGGTTCCAACATCACTGAAACAGGCTGATCGATCGCGAGATGTGCCTTCGATTATGTTCATGTGTCAACATATCGACGGTGTTGCATTCTGATTCGTCACTAAACTTTCCAAGGTTGCGAAGGGGTGGCCTTTCGACCAACCAGAAGCCAATTTTTATCACATCGTCATCCTTCATCCGTGCGAGTTTCGCTGGTTGTTGCACGAAGTGCTGCGACGCGGAGTTCCCCTCGAGATTTGGAGCCTCTGTGACGTTACCACCAAGCCTCGTCAGCTTCGTGAATGCACGCACCTCCGCATCAGTGGCGGCTAGCAAAGTTCTGAAGTGGTGATCATTTAGCTGCTATAACAACCGTCGGATCATATTGCCGTGTACATCTGACGGTTTTAAGTAGGTCAGACAGGTCGAGAACTTCCACACACCTGCAGCTGGGTCGCCTAGCCTCACCTCACCCTTTCTCCCCTCCACCTCACCACCAAACCAGCTTCGTGTCGTGTGGAGAAAGGGGAAACGGGAAAAGGGGGACGAGGCCGATGCCTGGCTGGCAGTGGAAAAGCCAGTAAAAACACACTCGTTTCCGGGAGTTGGTTTCGGTTCTGCAAGTTCTAGAAAGTTGAATTACGGTTGGACCCTGAAAGTGCTTGTTGCGTGGGCCTGTTTGGTGCGTCTCACTGGCTCGTGACTCGTCCCCGTGATTCACGACCCACCACTACAAATCCATGCATTCTCCCGCTCTATTCAACCAGCCTGCCATTATTACTAGCCACTAGCTTGATTGCTTCTGACACACTCAGTTCAACATCCAAGCTTCCTTGCATGTTATTGCGGAGCAAATAGAGAAACAATTAGGAGCTCAACGTAGCGGCTACGAGTTTCGTTCCTTCATTTTCGAAACTACTGTCAGCGTGAATCGTCTAAGCCAGCAGGAGACTCCTTCCCGTTTCGACACCAGATAAGCAAGTGCTTGCTGCATATTGTAACTTCAGAATGGAGGCCATGAGGAGTCACTCGTCAATGTCGGCTCCAGATCTCTTGGAACACACACCAGAGGAAACATCCGACCTGCCTTTCCCGAGAGAAGGTCACTCCGTGGCGTTCGTCTACGGCACATTAAAAGAGGGTTTCAGCAACCACTGGCTTATGCAGGAGCTGATGCAATCTGGCGACGCCATCCGGATAGGAACTGCTCGGACCGTCCAGAACT